TGTCTATTACGATGTTCATAAATAATCATCAAGGTTCATTGTAAATATATTTAATTACTGAAATGAATTATTATTCTTTGGTTAATAATTATTATTATTTATGATAATCAGTAATGTTTAACAGTGACAAGAAGATCATCTGCACTTATACACAATCATACAGGACACAGTAAATCAGGTTAAGGTTAACTGCACTCACATGTCCATGACAACCCAGAACTTTCTGTCTCTGAGAGGGCGTGTTCCGAGGTATGTTAAATCTACACGTCAAAATCTAATTCGTTAGAATAAGATTACCGGCTGTCTCTTAAAACCTAACTCCTCAGTTCAAGTTCAGTTCTTGAGCTCACCAAATTCTCTCCGTGGCAACGAGAGTCCAGAGGATCGAGTCGGCCGTTCAAAACCTCTACCAAAGCTTTCTGTCACGCTGATAGAACTGCTTCAACAGAAACGCCATCTGCAGCAAAGCCGACGCTACGAGATTCCTTAAGAATCAGCTCAGACGCAAACCAATTCCACACCTGTTTGCCTGCAGCAGCTATAGGACCAGAGAGTCGGTACCACTGGTCTTCCCTACCGGACCGAGTACCCAGAGGCTGATCAACATCCTCCCTTGACCTCCGGATCTGAACAGAGGTCGTCTGAACGGTGAGGTAGAACACAAGATTGCGTCTGAATGCCTCTTTTATTAAGAAATAATTTAGCTTAACTGCAAACCAAATTCTTTCACCCAGAACGCGTTTTTCTCTCTCTAAGATAGAACCTTCTGAGACCTACACATTCAAACACACACACACTTCATTTTTAGTTTCATCCAGACACAGATTGCTTTAATGCCAAAGCCTTTTATGAATTGTTTTTTGAATGGTCATCTTTAAATTGTTAGTAATAAATTCTTAACTTTTTAAACCTGACTCTTCTTTGAAATAAAACACAGAGTGGTGCATTTGGTCATTGAATGAGCAAAGATCTCTTTAGAGCTTCTGAATTAATAAACTTTTGCTATTAATTTAAATCTCTTAAATTAAATATTAATCTTTTCATTAAATATAGACCAAGCCAGTTGGTGTATGAACTTCTATGCCAATTCGTTTGATCTTTCTCAGGATTTAACAAAGCTGAGTAGCAACGGCGTTAACTTCTAGTTATTTGGATTAACAACGCTACGTGTGTGTGTGTGTGTGTGTGTGTGTGTGTGTGTGTGTGTGTGTGTGTGTGTGTGTGTGTGTGTGTGTGTGTGTGTGTGGTTTGCAAATGGGCACTTCTGGGTCATCATGAGAAGTTTACTCTGCACTAATGGACTGATGTGTTTTCTCTTTTAGCCTTCAGAATGACTGCTGGATTGTTTTCTGTTTATTTCTTTAATTTATTTCCATCATTTCATCTCACAATTTTATATTTATATTTGGGGCGACGGTGGCAGAGGAGTTAAGTGGCATAAAAAAATTAACTGAAGAGCCTTTTAATGGTCCTGGATGTGATTTGAGAAGAAATCTCACAGGCAAAAAACATCAGAGGAGGTGAAGTTAGCCACAAGAATCGATTCACTAACTTAATAACAAATAAATCAATATGATGCATGTAATGGAAGTGACAGCTGTACTCTGTTTTTCTAAATTAAGAAGCTCGTCTAGTGAACTCTGATTCTGACCATTCAAACTAATAAATTAGTTTCTTAATTCATTGTTAAATATTCTTGAATTTTCTAATGATTTCAGGTGTAGCGTTATGGATATGCTATTTTCTGCCCTTAACAGCTGCCCTTTGACACAGTGACAGTGTGCATAAATTGCCAAGGTCGTGCGCTTGCTTCTGATGTTTACATTCTAGCAAAGAAGACAGAAGAAGGACGAAGAACGCTTTTCATTAGTTAATCAAAGAACTTTATTTCTAATAAAGCTAATCAAAACAACTGTTGGTCAATAATAATCAGGTGACTGGTCTGTGAAATCACAATGTTATGATTTATGTGTTTTAATGAATAACAGGACTAACTGAGCTAGACATCCTGATCCACATAAGATGAACACATGACACATTGTTCACTCATCCAATCAGAACTTCCGTTCTGTTGCGGGGCAGAGTTCTGTGGTGTTTAGTTAATCTGTTCACTCCGATTCGCTAAGAATCATAAACAATTGGGTTTAATGAAACAGAACAACGCCATTTTAGGTCAGTCCCAACAAAGCATTCAACGTAGTTCAACTTGGTTCGACGCAGTTCCAACCAAGGACTCAACCAGCGCTCAAATCCATCATCATTAAGTGAAGTGCAGACTGGCCAGCTGTATTTTCTACTTTTAAGCTGAGAACTGTCAAGCTGGAAAATTCTGTCATTTTATCAACAAGACGACGGTTCCTTTAGAATAAAAGCTGAACTCTCTACGTGACGCTGACACCTGCCGTTGCTACCGGGATTCGATCCGTAGACTGGTTTGTCGTGCTGCAGACGCTGTGCTATCAGTTCCAGCACCAAAGGAGGGTCCATGACCTGGCATTCCGGATCACACACGGGAGTCTCCGAAGGTACGTAAACTCGGCATAGATGGCGTTTCATGTCTCTTTCTGAAGTCCCTCGTGGTTAGTTAGTCAAAACAACATCTTGCCCTCAGACTCGCCTGCACCAGAAGGAGATTCTGAACTGACACACACACACCAACACTTCAGCATCCAAATCCATATTCATCCATCATTAGAGAGTTAGTCCTGGTGATTGTTTCAAATAATTATAAAAATAAATATTCTTAAACGTCCCATATTTCTCTTTTCTTGTCTCTAAGTCAATACAAAGTGTTTGAATAAAATTCCCTGTGGTAAAAACAACCTCTTCTGATTCTAAGGTAAGATTAACCTCTGTACCTTAATAAGTGTAAGAATATACCAACTATATTCCGCTACACAGGTGTTTAGTTTAAAAAAAACAAACATTTTCCACACATCTTGGAAAAATCTGTGTTAAATTTATATTTGTAACTTTTGCAAGCTAAGACCATCTTTATTGTGTCAATAAATCCTTTACTTTTTGACAACAATTATACCGCCAAAGGATTTGAGCCGTCTAAAACCCGAGAGAGGCTTTAATTTCAGTCCATCTCAGGGATACACAGAGACAAACAACCAGACACAAACCAAAGGACTGATTAACCTGATCAAACGTCCCAAATGGTCAGTTTTTCATGTACAGTTTGGTCTCTTAAGTATCTGGTCATATGGAGACAGGAGTCTACATTTGTTACCTTTAATCTGCTGGATTCTGCCATTCCTTCAGCTGGAGTCCAGACCTCTGCAGCTTTAAACACATGATAACGTATTGTCAACATCATTTTCGCTTCTCAAGGTTCCTCTCTGCCAAGCCTGTCGGCTTATCTAGGCTGTCCTGCACAGAATAAAGAACTGAACCATTATAATAGTAAATAATTATATGGTCGAATGAACAATGATGGTTGATGAATAATAATAATGTTTTGATTAATCTGTGCTTAAATTAATAGTTTGGTTAAACAAGTGAATCATTATCTACACTCAGACACAATGTTCATTAGGGATAAATTAAAGTTAAAGTAATTACTGCACATAGATATTTTCTAAGCCACAAATCAGAGCATGCTGTATCTGAAAGAAGGCGTGATGTTCTGAGGGTTTGTTGTTAACACCCCTTAACATGGCATGTTCCGATTGGCCAAGTAAATCATAATATGAGAATATTAAAACAGAATCACTGAGGAGTGATTCATCATTCACCATTCCCTAATTCTAGCTTTCCAGCATTCCAGCATTCTGGGAGATTCAGCATCCTGTTAGTATAGCTAACTCTGGCCATCGGAGGAAAACTCTCTAGCCATCGCATCACTTGGCAAGCTTTCAACAAGCTTAAAGCTCCCTACAGCTGACACAGCAAAACGGTTCCTTCAGCTAATCAGAAACAGCTGCTCTAGACGCAAACTAGTTCCAACCTGTGTGCCTGGTGACATCTCTGGACTGGAGCGTCGGTGCTGCGGTTAATCTACTGAACCTCGGTGCCCAGAGGTCATCCGACCACCCTGACCGCCGCATCCGCGAACAGGGTCTCCAAAGAAAGGGTGAGGTAGACACATATGATTGCGTCTGATGCCATTTTGATAGGAATCAACTTCATACTTTAATGCAAACCAATTCCTTTTCACACCCAGAACTCAGTTCTTCTATACAAGGTTCTGATAAACACACCATTCAATCACCATACATCCAACGCTGGACTGACCATAGGGCACAGCGGACTGCCGACCCTTTCATCTTTTATGGGCCGGTGTGTCTGTTTTTTTTTTCTGGCCTCTAGTTGTTGCAGACAACTTGTCCGCGCCGTGCCACGCGACGCCTCGTGAAAGTTGGTGGATTGGCCAATTGGTCATAATACACTCTGGGCTGGACCAATAGCCAGAGGTCTGATGCACCCGCCAGTTGTTTGTGAATCTCAGTAAACAGACAGATGAGCTAAACAAAACGGAGAACAAAAAAACGGAAAGGAGGAACGGAGAAAATTCGATTAAAAAAGAAACTGGCCCTTCAGACAGATGCTGGCACATGTGTTAAAATCTCACAGTTGTTTGGTAGTGAAGGTTCAAGTAAAATCAATTTAGGAAGTGATGGAGCCTCAGCCCAGCGAAAGGTTGGAGAAGAAAAGAGGGAGGAGGAGGAGAAATACAAGTTACAACACTGGCCGTCTCCTCATTCCCCACCATTTTTTTCTTCTTTTTGTTTTATTGGCAATAAAGGCGGGTGACATCTAAACTCAGGTGCATTTGATCATCAGCGGATCCGTTTATTAGCCGATGTTTGCTGTAAAAGCTGCTGGTCATGATGTCAGTTTGCATCTGATGAGAGAGAAACATCGAGAAGAAATAGTAGATGTCCAGAATCAATCATCCAAGCAGCTGAACAGTTACTTGAGAAACTGTTTACATTTTAGATTACATGAATGACTTGAAGAAAAGTTATGAACAAATGTCACCAGGATTCTTTTTTACGTAGCTGATAGAAGGCTGGTGACTGTGCAGGGAGGCTCTAACAGTTTTGCCTGGGGCCAGATATAAGGCGGGGGTGGGGGTGGGGGGGGGGGGGGACAGAAGTACTTTTATTTCTTATTTTCATTTTAAATGTGTAGAACTTAAATCAGGGATGTCAAATTCATTTTCATTTTTGGCCACATAAAGATCATGAATGCTCTTAAAGGGCCGGTTATGCATAAAGTATTGAAAAAACTATTAATAGACTAGTAAAATAGTGATAAATATGTGAAAATCTTCTCCCAATGATGTGAGATTTACGACTATTCAAATAAACACATAAATTGGACATAAATAGAACTTCAAAGTTCAATTTATATTGTCCTCCATGAGATGCTGTTTGTAAAGTTACACAGTTAAAATTAACAATAATGTTGGTTATTTAGCCTGTCATATGAGAAATTAAAAGGGAATTAATATTTCAAAGTCATTGTTTATTCATTGAGAAATGTTTCAACTTCAAACTATTTGGTAAAACATTTAACATTTATAAAAACATGTATACTCAGTTTGCAAGTGAAATATTTAGCTAAAAGTGAAATATTTTGGTAAGAAGATACATATTTGGTTTATAAACAAAATAGTTAATTAGTTAAATATTTCGTTTGGATGCTAAATATATATTTAAGAAGGTAAATATTTAGTTTGCAATCAAAGTATTTAGTTAAAAAGTTAAATATTTAGTTTGGATGATAAATATTTACTTAAAGTTAAATATTTAGTTAAGAAGGTAAGAATTTCATTTGTAAACAAAATATTTCATAATTAATTTTGAATAATTAATTATTTTTCAGAACAAATTTTCAGAAATGTACAGTAGAATTAAATACAAATAATCATAAGTTAGTGTTTGTGGAGACATTAATATAGATATTCTAAATGCACACAATCATACACAAATAATTTATTAATTATGTGTTTTGTTAAAGATTCCGTCCAACAATTACACACCCTAACAGGATAGCTATAAATTCTGCAACTCGTATTAACAACATATTAACAAATAGTTACAGAAGTAATTACTGTATATGATGTCAGCATTTTCCCCACACTTTCTAGATACTGCACCAGTACGATCACTGAAAAGACCTCAAATGGTCAATGAAGTTATTTTATCTCACCTTTCTCTGTCTCCTTTCTTTTTTAAATGTATTGTAAAAATATGTCCTAGTTGGTGTGTTGATAAAACAGTTCATGAAAATTTCCATAAATGTATTTTTATATTAATATTCATTATTGATTAATAGTTCTCTCTGTTTTAATGTCAGGTTTCTACCAAGTGTTAGAGACTGTTTGGGGTGTTACTTTAATCAAGTGGTCTTTTTTGCTTTTTACTAAGTACTTTTTAGAATACCAGGATAGGAAGGATGGTGTAGGTTTACGTTTATTAGATTGATACATAAATATTACCAACAAGAAAGTGTACGTTGGTGTGTGTCAGAAACAGCGTAAGGCTTAATGTCTTTCCCAAAAAACAGGTGACTGGCCGGTCTCCAGTCAAAATGCCCGGGCTGAATTTTTGTCCCAGTCCAGCCCTGCATACATCACATCCCATCCACTTAGATTCATCCATCACAGTAGCCTTGGTTAACTTGTCGTGTTTTTATTTGTTTGGAAAATAAATGTCTTATCTTTTATAAACCTGACTCTGTCTGAATTGAGACGAAGTGTGTCTGATCCCTGAAAAAGCAAAGAATCCTAGAATCTTCTGATTAAACATCCAAAGACCAAGCAGGTTGATATTCTATATTTATATAGAATATCACAGCTTACTGGTCGTAAGTAAAGGTAATATATTAAACTTAAAAGCAACAACATTTACTCTCTACACTGACATGTTTGTTGTTGATTTGTGGGCGGAAACAAGAGAAAAACCAAGGGGAGGACATAACTTAATCTAGAACGGCTGCAGCCAGGATTTGAACCTGCAACTTCCAGGAAACACCTCCATGCAGCCCCAACCGCACAATAAAAGTATAACATCACACCGACATTTCTGCCATTACATTTGTTATTTTTAATAAACCTTGTTTTTTAGGGGCAGGAGCCTCATCCTGACCTGCTTTTGTTCCGTTACATAAACGTATCCAAAGTCGCTCATGCAGAGCTCAATTAAAAACTTTGATAAATAAAATAAATAAAATCTTCATGACTCAATTTATTGTGTGACAGAACTTTAAAAAACAAACTTGAGTCAATCTGTATAATGTGTGTGTGTGTGTGTGTGTGTGTGTGTGTGTGTGTGTGTGTGTGTGTGTGTGTGTGTGTGTGTGTGTGTGTGTGTGTGTGTGTGTGTGTGTGTGTGTGTGTGTGTGTGTGTGTGTGTGTGTGTTCCATATTGTGAACGTCTCTGATGGAGAAACCCTTATGCTCCAGTGAGGACCAGAGGTCCATCAAGATCTGTTGCTTTGTCTCCGTTCGACTTTCCTCTCCTAGGATTAATTTCCATGAAGGTCGGACAGGGACCCATTACCAAGAGACAGGATATGTGTGGAGAGTCAGTAATAAAGACATTAGACCACAAAGTAGTCTGCTGCTGTCTAGGGAGAGACTGATGGATAAGAACACACAAAATCACAAAATAAAAAATTAGTAACAAATATCAGATTGCTTGCTCCTTATCGGTGATGCTTCTCATTTGCTCAAAAACCAGTCAGCAAAGCAGTTTCTGAATGAAACAGGGAGAAGAAAGTGCATCAAGAGTTCAGAGAGCCAGCTGCAACAAAAGAAAACCCTACCATGCAGCTGGCATGTTGGTCCATTCTGATTTTTAAAATACTGCTTTAAAAATATTTTAAAGCCAGACGACTATGTCTCCAGTCCTTTAAAAACATCCTGAGATGTTGCGTGCTGGTTTATTTGGGGGGGGGGGGGGGGGGTTGCCGTCACTACCAGTGCTTCTTTCCTGCATTCTTCTTCTTCAGAGCCTTGATCCAGGCGGGGAGATTTGAGCGGCGGATGTGGGGCACCTCCTCTGCTTCTACCTGCTCCACCTCAAAGGCCTGGTCTGACAGCGATTCCTCATCTGTTTCAGAGTCCTCTTCATCCTCTGAGTCGGTATAATCCACATCCAGACTTGCAGACTCGATGATTATCACTTGTTCTGAAAAGGTCACCCGCCGGTTCTCCTCAACTCGTCTCTAATCCGCAGATGGAACGATGGAGCAAAGATGAAAGAGAAAAGATGGTTAATATTTCTATCAGGTGTCAGATTTATATATATATTTTTTAAATGTATTTTTATTTTTATTTATTTTTTGCTTGGGGGAATAAATATTTTTCTTCTAAATTATTTTAATTTAACACTAAATGTTTGATCAAAACCTATCAAACAACATCCTGCATATTTGATACAGCAGGTACAATTCTAAAAACACATTCATGATCCAAACACATGTTTCTGTTTTGTAATGTGCAATCAGGTAAAAAAAAATTCTACCGTAATTATTTTAAGCTCATTTGAAAGACAGCAAATAAATGAGGTCACCCTTTATTCAGGTGTATGTGAAAGTAACTGCTTAAAAGCTGCCGACAACATACGCCACTAGGAGGCGCTTTAGTTTGAAGCATCTCACCCTTTTTGTCAGCGTCTCCACTGAGGCCTCTGAATCCTGGGATGTGGAGTGTTTGAGGACGCCTCGAGGTGTCGGACCAGCGGGATTGAAGGGGGACGGAGACAGAGGAGGAGACTTTGGAGACCACATCGGTGGCACGTTTCCGTGTGGTGACTCCACTGAATCATCCATCATCTGGGAGCTGATGGTGCATGGTGCAGATATAGATCTTCCTGTAAGATTATAATTATTAAACATTATGTATACGGCATTGCAATATATACAGCAGTGCAAAACTAAAAACAAAGATGCTTCTGAAGATGCTCTGACCTCTTTCTGCCTTTTCTCCATCACTCATTTTCTCAGTTTGAAGCCTCTGGTCTCTCCTCACCACCTGCTGATGCTGCCTCTTCCTGCTGGTCTGAACTCTGTTGCCTGCAGTGAAAAGCATATCTGCGTTCTGCAAACAAAAACCAGGTCACCGTCATGTTTATGTTGTAATAAAATCCTGCTTTATTGTTCCTGGTGTATAGGTGAATATCTGACCTCTACACAGGATGAAGGTCTGATTTGCAGTGCTGGTCCACTCGCTCTGTGCCGCACACCTGATTGGTGACCATCTTCCATGGACTCTGGCTGATCAGCCTCTCTGTGAGCAAACTGTTGTTTGGGTTGTGAAACATCCATATGGACTGATGGAAAAGCAGAAGCTGCTGCCAAGGACAGCTTTGTACCACTGGAGCTCCACTGGTTGCTCCCAGATCTGAGTGGACTCTTGAGGGACGGGATAGTATAAGGCTTTGGTGGGACATTTGGTCGAATGAGTGGCTCCTCTGAGGGTCTCTTGTTTACTGATGGCGCTGCGAGGTTGGGGTTTATGAACTTGCCCCATTCCTGACCTTTTAGAATCTCATCCAGGAGGCTGAACGAGCCCAGGCCGATGTCAAAGTCACTGTTATACCTGAAATCAAGCGGACACATAACCTCCATCACTCATAACAGCACATTTATGAAGAATCTGCCTTCTAAGAATGCTACATCAAATAAAATGACCACAACGATATTAAAAATACAACCATAAATAAATCTGTGGGGGTTATTAGTCATGGTACAAATAACTTGTAAAAGAACTCCTTTACATTTTGATATCTATGTTTGATTTTGTTTCCTTGTGAGATCAGAAGGGTGGTGACAGCTGTTGGTGATGGTGACGTTCTTCTTGGCACATTAGCGGTAAAAAAAAGTCAATAATTTCAAAGCTATTACTAGAAACATCTTAAAGAGGACAGATTTAGACATTTTTCTTTAATTATAATAGTTTTATGGTCAACACAAAACACGCTTTTTTATGTTCCCTCTCACATGAAGTGATCTCAGCAGTTTATTCTTAACATTTTCAGTACCTTCCAGAATGAGCCATTCCAGGGCTCTATCAACTTAAGAAAACAAGATGGAGCTGGCCACGCCCACCCATACCACACTCATCCACCCATCCACACTGCTACTGACCCTTTGCGAGTGACGTCACCCCGCTCATGGAACTGTCCCCTTCACCAGGATGGTTGGCAGAAGGACCGTTTGCACATGTTGAAGCCACTGTGAAGCTAGTCAAAACGAGCGCTTTGTAGCCTTTTATCGCTTTTATTTAGTTGATTTCACAGTAAAATGGTAAAAGTTTGCTGCGCGGTTAGCTGCACTAACAAACAAGGATGTAAACTCAACTCGTCTTTTTTTTTTAAATAACTTTGATGGAGACCGAGGATGGAGCTGAACTGCAGGGATCAATCAAACGGACTAGCAACCCTCAAAGTATTTTGTGATTTGCAGCGAATGCATTTTACAGGGTAAGATTAACGTTGACAGGGACCGACTGTGATGGACCTGAAATGATACATGTGATGTGGACACATAACTATGGCAAGGCGTCCTTCCAATTTTGTGGCCCTCGTCTCTGGAACAGGCTGCCAGAGGACCTCAGGGTCATAGAGAATGTTCAGGGTTTTAAGAGCAGGCTTAAGACTCACCTTTTTACCATAGCTTTTAATTGACATCTGTTTTAGCTGCATTGCTTGTTTTATTTTTATTTTATTATTTATATTTTAGTTTTATTAGACATTTATGTCTTAGTGCTTTACTATCTTTTAAGCACTTTTTTAGTTATTTTACTATCCATAATAGCTCTTATATTTTTTATGTTACTTATTTGGTCGTGCCAATGTTTTTCTCTGTGGGGCCCTCTGCCTTGGGGGTGGTGGTCGACTGTGGCAGCCTGGGCACACCTCGGGGAGTGCTTAGGTGGTGGTGGGGTTTTTTGCCTCCCCAAGCCTTTGCTGCTGCCGTCGATAGACTACTACCGAGGCAGATGGCTCACCTGATGGCATGTCATTCGTTACGTAACCCATCTGAACTCGGCCAAGTGTTTACTTATGATGTTATTTTTCTATTAAGTTTTGTGTGTGTGCATGTGTGTATTTGTTGTTTGTGTGTGTGTGTGTGTGTGTGTGTGTGTGTGTGTGTGTGTGTGTATGTGTGTGTGTGTGTGTGTGTGTGTGTGTGTGTGTGTATGGGTTGTGGGATTTGGGGGGGGGGGGGGCGCAACTTTTTATATTTTGGGGGAAATGATGGGATTATGGGTTATGTTGGGTTATGTTGGGTGATTTTAACCTGTAAAGCACTCAGAGCTGTATTTCTTGTATATGAAAAGTGCTATACAAATAAAGTTTGATTGATTGATGTGTTTATACATATTTAGAATTGATTACATATTTCACCATGGAGGAAGTGCAGTACTGTCCATTGTTGTGAAATGCAAGGTAATAATTTATTTTAATAATATAGTTTCAGTGTAGGACTACTTGTGTTAAAGTTATGTTCTTTATTTAGTATGATGAGCATCACCGTTATGAGATGTCTTCTCATCCCAGTGTGTGAGTAGGATCTCAAGCCGGTGACCTTGCCAGCAACAAAAACTGGTAGGGATGCAGACTTTTTGAAGTTTTTTTAATCAGCTCCATTGTAAAGTGAAAGCTGTTTATCACATAATGTTATAAATTCAGCAGGGTGATTCTGGCAAAGTCGGCAACTTGTTTACATCAGTGAGCAGAAGCAGGGACAACGTAAGCTAACGTTCGTAAGCTAGTTGACACGTAACTTTTTAAATATAGTTTTCTATGAGCCCCACTTATGTGTGCTAAATCTCCTCACAAGTACACTGGGCTAGAACTTGTAGAAGCCAGGCTAAATTGGGAAAAAAACAACCTCAGTTGCTATTTTTCTCTCCACTCAATACTCTTGTACTTTTCTTTAAAGAGCAAGTCACCCCCAAATCAACTTTTTTTTCTGATAAACTATATAAATGCATGTTTAATTGTGCTGCAGACACGTGTAGTCAATAGTTTAGCACTTTAGTGCCTTTTAGTTAAAATTAAAATTTTCTGCCTGAAACTGTCAGTGTTGTGCTGTTGTCAGGTAAAAACTGCACTGTAGTTGAATTTAAATCTGCCATCACTGTTGGCTAAGAGGTACCCTAACGTTAGTTGGTACCATATGATGTCACAATGTCGTTGTGAGCCTGTGTGTGTGTGTGTGTGTGTATTTGTTAGCGGCTCCTCCTTCTCGGTCTGCTAGGCAACAGCATTTGTTGCATTTTTCAAACAGGAAGTGGGATTGGAGTAATACTCTGGTAGGGGGTGACTTGCTCTTTAAACTAGTTTCCTCTTCTATAATTATACTAAAAGTGTTCTGTATTTGGAGCGGGCAGCCTAGTTAATTTTGTGTTTACTGGTCACGTATGTCAAATGTATAAAATTCATGTATTTATTTATAAACTGAAGACTGATGTCATTCACTTTGTGTTTTTGTTAATGTTGCTTCAGGATAATGATGACACACACAGGTACTTTTTAAACAGATTGTTTTAGGCACATAATTCCTAAAACAAACACTGACAGAAAACAGACTGATGGTTCGTTTTCACGCGCGGAGTGGTAATATGATCTTTGTTGATATTTTTCTCATCTTTGCGTGCATGCGCGAGTGGCAAAAACGAATAGAAAATGTCCTGTTATCAATAGGCGGCATAAACTTTTAAGAGAGTTTGAGGGTAAAATCGCTGATATATAAACACTTTAGCGACTCTAAAGACAGGAGGAGGTTTAAAGAGAAGCTTAAAATCTGTATTGAAGACAAAATTAAAGTCATTACAAGCCTGTATGAGCTCTGAGATGACAGAAAACTTCTGTCCCATTCGCTGGAGTTTTTTTCCACAAATCAGCTGAAGAGACATTTATTCCTATTCATCAGAAAGCCCTGAGCTCTTGACTTAAGAAAAATTAAAGGCTTTTAAACGTCTGGAGGCCTACAATTATTTTGTTTTAAGGAAAGCTGATCCGATCTCTTCTAAAAACGGAAAGCCGTGGTCGTGCTAATAGCAGCAGTCAGCTCAGACAAGCAGAGTTACAGCGTTGTTTAAATCTTCTGTGGGTGATGGCCAAAGAAAACGGATAAATCCTCACAGCGGCTGCAAAGCAGTTAATCTGTGTCCTTATTTATTTCTGCATTTATTATTATAGTGATCACGGGTTGAGACACCTGAAACAGAACGCAAAATCAACATGACTCAGTGGATTTAAAAATACACGAAGATGAACGTTTTTAAAAACATCTTCTCTAATTAACAAATACTTAGTCACAAGGACTGAGCAGGCTGTCTTTGGAGAGTTCAACTCGCTTCCTATCATCTCTTTCATATTTTGCGGTCGTTTATGGAGGAAATCCCATTAAAACTTTTTATCAAGCCTCCCACAGCCAACCACACAGCAAGAACCATCTGCTTCACTAAATCCTCCTCTAAATATGCAAAACAACCGAATTATAGGCAAAATATGTTGTTTCTTGCCACACACTCCTGTGATACAATGGGAGAAACGTAAACAATGATGTCACAAAAGATTCTCCTATTGGGGCAGTAGAGACCACATGGTAGCACAAAAGGGTGCAAAAGTTGGGTTTTGCATAATATGTCCCCTTTAAATATCTATCATATCTCCATAATGTTACAGTAAAAGAACAAATACAGAATGGCTTTAACCTAAGAGAAAACCCTTAGCTGATTACCTGCTATTGTTGCCATTAGTGTGGTCTTCTGTGGTCATGTTGTTGGGAGAGCAGCTGTCCCATGAAGGAATGGTTGTGTCCCTGTGGTTAGTTGGTGTGTTGATTCCTGCTGTCGTCTTCTGAGCTGAAGCTGAAATCTATGAGACAAATAAGCCGATCCTTTACAAGAACTGAAGAAACCCTGAAAGAAGAAAAGAAGCAAAATGGAAATGTGCTCACTTGAGCGCCTTGCTCTGTCCTTTGGGTCACTGTCCCTCCGTCCTCTTTGTCCTTTTTTCTGTATTTATCCTTCCATCTTTCCTTAATCCTCTGTGTCCATCTTCTTGTTTTATTCTCAGACGGCCGCTGATTTTTCCTGATCGTTGCTTGGTTGCTCGAGAAAATCTGCAAATCATCACTTAGTCTCAAACTACCGATTCCTTCGTTTTCCTGGTGCAGCACTTTGTGCTTCTCACCAGCGCTGTGAGGAGGAGGCCATGTGGGTGTGAAGTCCTGGACCTGGCTCTGATTTGGACTCATGCCTAAAGCAGTGTTTGCATGAAGGGGCGCGTGGTTTGCCAGTGCAGAGCTGCTAAACCTTCCCCTCTCACTATCAGCCCTCTTGAAGAAAACAAAATTACCATTCTTGGTGGTTTTAGGAGGAAGAGGTGGGACAAACCCAGATTGTGCTACTGGTCCCAGCACCCTGCTCTCACCAGTGGTGACTTTCCGGGAAGAAAAGGAAGTTAGACTCCCGTCCACTTTATCGCCAGGTTCTGATTGTTGTTTTGAGTTTGCAGTGGGATTTGTGAGGTCCTTGGATGGAGTGTTTTTACACCCAAACACATTCACAGGGTTGTTGTCCACCACCTGGAGGTTCGGAGCTCCTGTCAGCTTATCTAGTCCCAGTGTGCAAGCTGCTGCATCGGGTACTGGTGCAGGTCCGTACATATGACCATCTCTTCCTGACTGAAGCTTCAGCTTCTGCAGCATAGACTGCAGCAAAGCTTGAGAGTCTTTTGACTGAGACATCTGGGAAACCACACGTCAGTGAGTAAAGTCTTTCAGTTAAATATAAACGCACGTGTACAGAGCACCAGCTTAACAGGAATGGGTTCCACGCCGGTTAGGGTTCACATCAGAAGTAATTACCTGTGTGGAAATCATGTCCAGCTCCTGTCAGGGCTGCTTCCCTCCTTTTTGGACATCCTGATCTTTTTCCAATCATACATAACAATGCAAACAGAATCCAGGCTCACGTTTTCTTGCTGCTTGTTTTCATCAGAAGTCTGGCCGAGATCCAGCCGAATTCTTAACGTTTTCTGTGGTTTTGGCACAAGTGGACAAACATTAAACACTTTATGGTCTTCTGTCCATTTGAAGTATCTTCCTTCCACCGAAAATCCAAAATTTGACACAAGCTGGCTTTAGTCACACTTATTCTCCAGCTTCCTCTTATCTCCCCAGTGATGGGAGGAGAGATGGTTTTTGTCCCTTAGACTATACGCACTGAAGCAGACAAACAAGAAAGACCAGTGAGGTGAGATAACTTTGCTCTGACAGTAACCCTCCCTCTGACTCTGTGAGTTTCTCTGTCTGTGTTTTAGTTCACCCTTCCTGTCTCTCACTGACTGACAACATGCAGGCCCTTCTCAAAAAATTTGCATATTGTGATAATGTTTATTATTTTCTGTAATGTACTGATAAACATCAGACTTTCATATATATTATGTTTATGTTTATGTTTATTCATTTGGAAGACGCTTTTATCCAAAGCGACTTACAATTTATAACCTGTAGGGCATGTTGTGATCTGTGGGGGAAACCAGAGTACCCGGAGGAAACCCACGCAGGCATGGGGAAAACACGCAACTCCACGCAGAAAGGCAGCAGCCGAGTTTCGAACCTGCGACCTTCGTGCTGCGAGGCAACAGTGCTAACCACTGCACCACCATGCAGCCTGAATATTAGATTCATTACACACACAACTGAAGTAGTTCAAGCCTTTTATAGTTTCTAATATTGATGATTTTGGCACACAGCTCATGAAAACCCAAAATTCCTATTTCAAAAAATTAGCACATCATGAAAAGGTTCTCTAAACGAACTATTAACCTAATCATCTGAATCAACTAATTAATTCTAAACGCCTGCAAAAAATTCCTGAGGCTTTTAAAAACTACCAGCCTGGTTAATTACTCAAAACCGCAATCATGGGTAAGACTGCTGACCTGACTGCTGTCCAGAAGGCCATCATTGACACCCTCAAGCAAAAGGGTAAGACACAGAAAGAAATTTCTGAATGAATTGGCTGTTTCCAGAGTGCTGTATCAAGGCACCTCTGTGGGAAGTCTGTGGGAAGGAAAAAGTTTGGCAGAAAATGCTGCACAACGAGAAGAGGTGACCAGACCCTGAGGAAGATTGTGGAGAAGGACCGATTCCAGACCTTGGGGGACCTGCGGAAGCAGTAGACTGAGTCTGGAGTAGAAACATCCAGAGCCACCGTGTACAGGCGTGTGCAGGAAATGGGCTACAGGTGCCGCATTCCCCAGGTCAAGCCACTTTTGAACCAGAAACAGCAGCAGAAGAGCCTGACTTGGGCTACAGAGAAGCAGCACTGGATTGTTGCTCAGTGGTTCAAAGTACTTTTTTCGTATGAAAGCAAATTTTGCATGTCATTCGGGAATCAAGGTGCCAGAGTCTGGAGGAAGACTGGGCAGAGGGAAATGGCAAAATGCCTGAAGTCCAGTGTCAAGTACCCACAGTCAGTGATGGTCTGGGGTGCCATGTCAGCTGCTGGTGTTGGTCCACTGTGTTTTATCAAGGGCAGGATCAATGCAGCTAGCTATCAGGAGATTTTGCAGCACTTCATACTTCCATCTGCTGCAAAGCTTTATGGAGATGAAGAATTCATTTTTCAGCCCAACCTTGCACCTGCTCACAGTGCCAAAACCACTGGTAAATGGTTTACTGACCATGGTATTACTGTGCTCAATTGGCCTGCCAACTCTCCTGACCTGAACCCCGTAGAGAATCTGTGGGTTATTGTGAAGAGAAAGTTGAGAGACGCAAGACCCAACACTCTGGATGAGCTTAAGGCTGCTACCGAAGCATCCTGGTCCTCCATAACACCTCAGCATGTCATGAGCCGTGGGTGAGTACTCGTCTCTCTACATGAGATCTCTGAGTTGTGTCTTGCAGGAGAGGGAGCGGCAGCTGCACCTGATCAGCTAATCAGCAGGTTGACTTCTTAAGGAGGAAGGTGACACTACTCGACGCCGGATGATTGCTACTGACTGGTAGTTTCCAGCCCTCGTACTTGGCTCTTGGTTTTTGTGAACATTATTATGTGTACCTTTTCCTGGGACTTTTGTGACTTTACGTCTCTTGGATCTCTGACCTCAGGTTCTCCTCGTCTCTGGATTATTCCCTCACCACGCTTAATAGGACTCTGCTCTGCTCACACGCCACGTCATCCATTCACCTCTGACCAACCCGCTCTCCAACGACTACCCGCTCCCTCTCCAGCTCTGGAACCGCACACCTGGATACCCCCGGCTCGTTACCCATCCCCTCACTCGCTGAACTCATTTTACCCCAACACTGCGTTTCCCCTGTCCACTGGAATTCCCAGTGCGCCCTCAGTTACTGTTATCCACGAATAAAAATATTATTTTTCATTATACTGTCTCCTGGGTTGATTCTGCATGTCTTGGGTTAGACACCTTCCTCAGAACATGACACAGCAGTGCCACAGGCTGATTGCCTCCATGCCCCCCCACACTGAAGCAGTCATTTCTGCAAACGGATTCCCGACCAAGTATTGAGTGCATAACTGAACATAATAATTTGAAGGTTGACTTTTTTTGTATTAAAAACACTTTTCTTTTGTTGGTTGGATGAAATATGCAAAATTTTTGGGATAGGAATTTTGGGTTTTCATGAACTGTATGCAATCATCAATATTAGAAACAATAAAATGCTTGAACTACTTCAGTTGTGTGTGTAATGAATCTAATATATATGAAAGTCTAATGTTTATCAGTACATTACAGACGATAATGAACTTTATCACAATATGCTAATTTTTTTAGAAGGACCTGTACACCCTCTTTCTCAACACTGAGTCTACTCTGCTAATTACAGCTATTAATAGCATGCTTCTTCAAAATGAAACAAATAAGAAAGCATATTTGGAATAACCTGTTCCTTCTAAATTCTCTGAACTAAATCATTCATCTTCTTTGTAATGCTGTGATTGGTTGGCCCAGCCTGTTTTGAGACATACAGTACGTTCAGATTTAATTCTTCTGATAGACTCTGAGGTATAAAACAAGAAGAATCCAGATAAACTTTGAGTTGCTTGTTGTCTAAGTCAACATTTAAAAAAAGAAAGGAACGAGTCGGCTAGGTCATTGGTTTATGTTTATAAATATGTTAAAAAACATAAACACAGGAATTAACTAATGTTGCTTTTTTATTAGTCATTAAAAAATATTATTAAATACGTAACTAATATGTTCCCTCATTATAAACAATTATTTTAATATAATGGCTTATATATTTAGATAGTTAAATTACACATAAACATCGTTTTATTTTAAAAAAAAAATCAGTAACGTGTGTAAACGGATTGCGCATGCGCTTACAGAACCCACGTTCGTTTCGGTTCTTCCCTCTCCCTGATTGGTCCATAATGCGGAAATGGGTTATGGCGGCGTAAACAAGAGGCAAGAAGGATGGGGTTGAGCCGAAGTTACCGCTGATAAAATATATATATATATATATTTTTTTTTTGTTACAAAATAAGAAGAAAACAATGTTTTTGACAGGAAGACTCGTGTTCCCTGGACACTTCATTAAACCCTAACCGTTTTTCTTCGCGGTGGTGGATGCTAGTTTTGTCTAACATTTTTCTTGATTTGCTAACTTAACGGAAAAGTTAGTAGAAATGCAGTGTGTGGTGACTGGAGGAAACGTGAAAGGTAGCGAACCGTGTCGGTTGGTTTGACAGCGAAAATAATGAATCGTTGACATTAACTGTGTGGCTGTGCGTGTGTGTGTGTATGTGTGTATGTACCGTCCAGTGCTGGCCAAAGCCATCCACTCCCTGTCCAGGATCGGAGACGAGTTGTACGTGGAGCCGCAGGGTGACGGGGTGAGCTGAACTGATGCTTTGATAAACCGACACTTCCTGCCGTGCATGTAGTCTGGTTGCTTCCTGTTGGTGCACACTTTGCGTCAATGAACAGTGCTGAATTTGTTGTTTTTCTCTCTCTCTCGTAGCTGGCCCTGCGGTCCGTGAACTCTTCTCGGTCGGCGTACGCATGCTTCCTGTTCGCACCGCTCTTCTTCAGCAGGTGCAGACTCTCCCCTCTCTGTGTGGAATTTAGATTGGGTCAGTGAACAGCACATTCATGGGAGAACTTAAAGGCCATCTCATTTCTCATGCAGGTACAACATCCGTAAAGAGGTCAACTTCCGCTGCAAGATGGCAATAAAGGTGTGAGAATAGAAGCTGTTTAGAGTCTGAATTGTAAAGTTATTTGTGTGAGAAGAGGCAGTAAAATAGAAAATTGAGTTCTTCCACATCAACATGCAGTAATGGGATAAACATTTGTTTAAAAATGACAGAGACTGGGGTGGAAATTAGTAAATAAGCAGCCAAAGTCCAAAGAAAATCTCTGAAAGATGCTCACAGAGCTTTAACTGTCACATAAAATCACTTTTAATGGTCACAAGGACATCTGACTAATTGGAAGCAATTTAAAAAACTAATGGATGATTTCAAATTTTAGGTCCCATAGTGTTCTATCACTGCAGACGGTTTAGCTGTTGTATGCTTGCTTTAAGACAACCATTTGGTTGGCTTTGCACTTTTTGCTGCCCCACCTAGATTTTATCTGCATGTTTTTGTTGGTTTTTAAATGGTTTTATATGTTTTTATTTTTTTTATGTTTATTTCTGCTGTGCAGTGCTTTCTTTGGTCCTTGGGCCATGTGAAGGCGCTATATAAATAAAGTTTAGTAGTAGTAGTATTTGGATAATGACGGTGCTACGTGGTTTGACTCTGCTCTGTTTGACCAGATTTTTTCCTCCTGAGCTTTTACTGGGGGTAGATTTGGGATTAGTAAAGCCTCATAAGGTTATTTTTGAACAACTGGCAATTTATAAATTACAAATATTCAATGTTCAAAATTCTAAAGATGTCATTAAAAAGGTGTTAGTCAAACAAATAAATCTATATATTTTGTAAAGAAGCCAGCATGCTCTTGAGTACAGGGTAGATATGTAATATTGTTACTTCTGCTTCAGTTTGGGAACTCAAGCTTAGAGCTGAATTATTTTTGTGACTTTTAGCTGTTCTGCTACATTAGTATAAGTCTGGTCATTAGATGTATTCATTACAAATGTTCTGACCTTTACAGCCCTCAGGCTCACCTCCTGGCTAAAGGACCTGTTGTTTTAACAAACAGTCCAAAGTTAGTTATAGTTATGAGTAACTAACTCGCTGCTGAACCGGAATGAGTTGAATGAAGTTAGAAGTTTTGTCGTGCTCATTTACAAATGTCATCTTCCCTGTTGTGTTGCTACCAGAGGCTTGTTGTGGTTACCTGTGTGATTTTTTTTTATTAGTTGCAAAACCTCTAAACTTCCTCCTGATGGTTGCAGACAGACTTACAGAGTAAAACGGGTTACTTTTCTTATGAAAATGTTCTGAAAGTCAAAAGGCAGTTTAGAACTTCACGATCTTCTAATTAATCCTCATTTCTGCTGCACGTTAACATGGACATGGTGCTGTCTCTGTTAAATAGATGTTTTTCCCTGTGTGTGAATCAGAGTGTGCAGACTGTGTTCAGATCTGTGGCGACTTTGGAGAAAACTGTAGAAAAGTGTCACATAGAGCTTGATGAAGCAAAGGACCGCTTGACTTTCACGCTGCACTGCAAACACGGTAACAGAGCCCCTCCTGCACCTCAGCTACAACACGTTTATTCTGACACATTTCTGACTAATTGCTCTGAATTCATTACATTTTATTCTACGGTGTGTCATTTAGACCTCTAAGGGTTTGTTTCTCTGCAGGTCTCCTGAAGACACATAACCTGTCTTACCAGGACAGTGAGAGCTTACAGGCAGTGTTTGATAAAGATAGCTATGCCAATGTATTCAGAGCCCATCCCAGGTCTGTAACGTCTGTCTGTGGACTTTTAAATGAAGCATTTATGCTCTTTCTGTTGGATTTCTTAGACTTAATGTTCATAATGCTGCTTTTAAAGACTAATCTCTGTCATTTTTAACCGTGTAATTAAAAACAAAGTGGCATTTTGTTTAGTTAAATATACTTTGAAGAATTTATTTCTGTTTTCTTTGTTGGTAGGTTGCTGGTGGACACAGTTGTTCACTTCCCTTTATCTGTGGAAGAAGTGACTGTGACAGTGAGCGATGAACGGATGTGGGTCAGGAACCATGTGGAGGACGAAGCAGGTGGCAAGATTTTTACTTTTCTCTCCCAGCCCAGAGCTTCAGCTCATTGAATCTGTTTGTTCTGATCATCCAACGAATCTGGTATTAAAGTGGTTTTAACGTCATAAAGAAGGATGCAAGAAATAGAACTGGTAGATGAAACCCAGCAATGCTCTGCAGGTTGTTTATGTTTGCAGAAGTTGTTATTTATTTTTGTTTGTTTCTATTTTTTTGTTATCCACTTTTGTATTTTCACGCCTCATTATTTTTCTCTCTCTTCCAGAGCGGTCCAGGGCCATGCTCACAGAGCTGTGTTTGGCTTCAGATGAGTTTGACCATTTTGCTGTCAAAGCTCATCACAGCATCACGTTTTGCCTGAAGGAGCTACGAGTGAGAATAATTAATAAAATAATAAATAATTAGATGTTTGGAAGTTGTTTAGGGCTCTCTGAATGAACACAGCTAAAATCTGCTGTTGGACGCTGATTGCTGTCAATAATCGTAGATGATTTATCGCCTCTGTCAGGGTTTGTTGGCGTTTGCAGAGTCCACCGGCCTCCTCCTTTCTATGTATTTAGATGAGCCAGGCAGGTGAGCGTTCTGATTGGTTTACTATGTAAGGTGTGTTTCTGTTGTGTGTCCTGACGTGCACATGTTGTTTTTTGCATCCCAGCCCCGTGGTGCTGTCAGTGACAGACAGCGTCCTGGAGGGAAATTTTGTTCTGGCCACACTTTCTGATGATCATAATCTCTGCAAAAACAACAACAAAGGGTAAAATTGTTCTATTAAATAACAGGATTTAGCAGCACGTTTTTGCACATTTCTCCCCTAATTAGGTGAGGACGTTTTCACCCTTTACCCTTGTCTGCCACCTGGTGGTTGGTGTGATTTAGGTCAGCTGTTGTTGTTTGAGTCTAATCCATCAGGAATCTAAAGATTGGCTGTTCTTTTGCGTCATTGAATATCTTTACTTAATAATGAGATTAATTTATTGTCAATCAGAAGATGTAGTTATACGTCTAGCAGGTCACAATTAATAGATAATTACCTGATCTGACGAATAAGGAGCCTCCTCCTCTTCTAGTTGGCTCATGAGTCCCCGGAACAAAGAAAAATGAAGGCTAGAAAAACAATTTTTTATCCTGTGGTGGTTTTTCTCCACGTTTAATGCTCCCTCTGTCATCTTGGAAGAGTGTTTCATAGCTTGCTAAACTATCATCCTCTTCATGTCTGGTTGGATGATGTCAGATTGGTGAGATGAAGATTTGTAGTCTTAAACAAGTTTTCACACAAAACCTAAAAGAACTTTTGCTGCTGTGTGAAAATAAGCACTTTCTTGGCATCAGGACGTGTCTTTAAAATTCACCGGCATCGCATGTGAAATCCATGGCACATATCAAACGGGATTAGGAAACAGCATTTAGCCCCGTTGACTTGCATTTATTTTTCTTTCTTCCACGGACCCATGGTCTGGACGTAGATGGGCGGGACTTAGGCTCCCCATTATACCAGTCATTTATAATGATATCCTCTTTATAAACACTTGGATGAAACCAACAGACAGGTTTGATTTTTAGATTTTCATCACCATTTTTAAGTTTTTTTCCCCCAACATCTGTGTGCCCCTCTGTTTGATTTAAAGTAGTTTGTTTATTTTTCTAGGGTTTTTTCTATTAAGATTTTTCTCACTGATTTAGTGTTTTTGTTGGTTTCAGACAAATAAAAAACTTATTAGAACGTAAGCAGTTTAGTAGATTTTAAGGTGGTGGTACTAATTTTAAATTTAAGGTGGCATAAAACTAAAAAGCAACAAATCTTCAGTCAGATGGATTTCCTTTGACTTCTGACCTAAAATATAGATTGTAAGATATTTCCTTTTTAATTTTCATGTATTTATCTCATCATTTGGGTTTCCATACATATTTATTATCCTTCTTAGCATGTGTCATTGATCTGTCTGATGTGTGCTCCCGCCCGTCTCCTCAGACCGGACGCAGAACAACCGCCTCCTCCTGATGACTTTATGAACGATGACATAGACTCCTATTTAATCGCCATGGATACCAGTGTGGCTCCAGGGCCCTCGGCTGCAAACCCCCCCACTACCTCGTTAGCTGCTGCAAGAGAGACTCCATCAGACAGACACAGGATAAGGAGACACAGTGAGGAGGAGGAAGACGGAGACAGACTACCCAATAAGAAGGTTTGCTTTAGTTTTCACTGATAGGAGGAACTGCGTTTTAGGTTTTCTCCTGCTTCTCTTCCTCTCTGTTCCTGCCTTCTGTTGTGTTTTAATCGGTTCAAACCTAATTATAATTTTCATGGAGCATGTTTTGAGATCTAGCATTTCACTCTGATGGAGAAGAGGCTATTAGCTCTAACCTGTTCTGAACTCAACCAATTTGAAATATACGTCTGTGTAAAAGTTATGAATTATAGATGGTCTTTAAATTAGTATCTAACAGCTGGTCTGAGTGCAGTCAAGATCTAAGTGTCTTAAAGCAGCTCTAATGTCAAATATCTCACAGCAGTTCATGCAAACACTTTATAAACCTTTACACCTTCAGGTTCACATTACATGATTTCTTTGGCAGAAATATAAAAAAGCCCTGCCTGATTTGACCTCCTGATGCGTCGGTTAAGAAACGGTTTGCCTCTGCTGGTCATGTTTGTGCCTGCAAATAACACAAAACTGGCAGTCTTGTGAAGAGTTATTAAAAATCTTTGCATGAATTGAAAATAGAGCCATTTTAAAACGGCACCAACTAGCCATTAGCTCATCACTCCTGGGGCATGGACTCTCTAAACAAAGGCCATTAAAAATGAACAGGCGGTAACTTTTCACTCCTACAGGGCCGAAACATCCCTTTGACAAAACTGTTCAACTCTGTGTTAAAGGTTTTAGACAAAAATCAGTTTTTTAATGATTTCCTCCCGTCTGTTGTCCTCCCTCAGTTCCGCTCCATCTTCTTTGGATCAGTGCTTCCTCCGTCTCCTCAGACGAGCATGCAGCCGGTGCCTACTCAGGAAGTGCTGGCCAGTAACAGTGAGGATGAAACTGAAGCTGATTGATCTTCAGACAGAAAAAGGGACGAGAACAGACCTGAAACTGGGACAACTTGAGCCTGCTGTTACACCACAACACCGTATGGGACCCTACGGGGAGGGCAAGTGTTACATGGACCGGACTTAACACACTTATGGTGTGTTTTATGTTTCAGTTCTATTAAAGGACTTAAAAACTGTTATTATGCTAAACTAAGCAGGAAGCCATTTGTTTTTGAGAGTTTTAAGCTCACTTAGATAAAATAAAAGTATTTTCATTAAGTGAAGAATTCTGTATTTATTCACGTCTCAAGACGTTCGAGTGTAAACCACGGTGGAACTGAGACAAATGTCCCCTCAGACAAAACCAGACATCAGATTATTTTGTTTTTGTTAAAAATAAGATTGATCATAAGCAGCAGAAAATCTACGAGTCTGTGGCTCCATCTTTGCAGGATGAGCTCCATCGTCACCAGCTTTCTTCTTCTGCTCCTGAAAACTTTTCACTCTGCTTTGGGGCTTCCTCCTCTCCCTCTCCAACTCCTTCTCTTTCTTCTTCTTTACCTTCTCCTCCTTCTCTATTCTCTCCTGCTCCCTCCGTCTCCTCCTCCTCTCCCTGGAGCTCAGTTTCTCCTCCGCTCCCTCCTCAGCCGGCTTCTCTGTCCCGACCACGTCACCGAAGTCCTGAATCAGGATTTTGGGGATTTGCATTTTGGGTTTCTTCTTCTCCTTGGCTGTCCGGGGCTGATCTCCTTTGAGTTTGCGGAAGAGACCGAAGCGTTTGGAGGAGTCCTGTTGCGTTGGGACATCTACTGTCCCTTTGGGACAGGTTTGGCTTGTGTCCACCTCTTTGGGCTGTTCCACAGGGTGATTAGGAGCAAGCTGGCCTAATTTCTCAGGACTGATGAACAAATCCTCAGAAAGTCTTCGTGTGAACTTGGAGCTGGATGACTTGCGAACACAGAAATCGGCAGAAGAACGGCTGCTGCGACGCCCAGAGGTTTGTTGCTGGTGGTTGTGTTCGGCTTTTGTCCTCTGAGACTCTGGCACCTGGGTGATCGTGCTGCTGTCAGTAACCGGTTCCTCCTCAACGGAGGTGAAAATGTCCTCTCCTTGTGTGTCTTCTGCAACATGTCCTGTGCTTCCAACCACTGTAGGGACCTGACTCTCTGAGTGTTCAGGTGTTTGTTCTGAACTCTGACCCAGTTCTGGGATGTCCTTCAGCACCTCCTCCTGTGCTGTTTCCTCCTTTTCTCCAGGTAAGACACACGCATCAGTCTCCTCATTTGTATGGACTGTTGTTTGAGTGTCATCTGCATTTATCTGATCTAGTCTCCTGTACTCGCTGCATGTCTCTGTAGGTCCCGATGCATCTGCTCCACCTGCTTCCTGCTCCGGTTCGGGGGCTGCTGCCTCTTCAGCTCCAGCTGGAGTATCGGTGATGATATCAGTGTCCCTGTTTAGTTGGACACACTCGGGTAAAGACGTTTCTTCTGTCTCTGTGCATTCTGGATCTGTTTGTGTAATTTCATCCTGCACAGCAACATTTTCTACATCCGTCTCTGTCTGGGTGTGGGACTCTTCGTTTTCTGTTTCTAATAAGGACTCAGCGCTTTGGTATTTTTCCACTTTAGTCTCTGTGATGACTTGTTCCTGGTCCTGCTGAACATCTTCCTTAGGCTCTTGTTCTGGGACCAAAGGTGTCTCACTTCCTGGCTCAGGGACCTCTTTGACTGTGTCCGTTCTTGCTCCTGCTGTATTTTCAGGTTCTGCGCCCTCCTCTGGCTCTTCTCTAGAGTCCCGCAGCTCCGCCCCTTCAGCACTGTTATCCTCCACCACACATGCATGCTTAGGACTTTCTGTCCCTCTGTTCGCATCTGTCGCCTCATTGTCCTGGACGTGGCTTTGCTCCTCCAGAGTTTGTGATTGGTCCTCCAGTTTTTCTTCCTGCTCACAGTTTGATGAAGCTTCTGGTAGTTGGAGAGTGCTTTCATCAGTCTGGTGGTTGGCTGGACTGTCCTCTCTCTGTCCTGTTCTGCTGTCTGACTCCTCTTTAAGTTGTTCTTCCTCCTTTATAGATGCGTTTCCTTCCTGTGTTTCCATACTTTCTTTCACTACCACCGTCATCTCTTTGTGTTCTGTTGGTGTATTTTTAGCTTTAGGTTCATCTAAATGTTCCTCTGGTTTTTTGTCTTCTGTTAGCCTGAACTCGTCTTTTGTTTTGTGTCCCTCCTGGACATCCTCCTCCTCCTGGACATCCTGCTCCTTCCTAAAATCTAAGTCAGCCCAGCTTATCCAGTCCTCCTTTGCACCCATGGAGAGATGCCTCACAACTTTCCTGCTTTTTTTAGAGTCACCATTTTTGATTTTTCCTCCTTTTTTCCACCTCTTGTGAAGGAGAGAAGGTGACAGTGAAAGAGTGGAGGCGGAACGGGCGAGAGGGACCGACAAGTTCCCCCTTTCTCTCTCTTTCTTCTCCCGTTCCTCTTCGTCGTGCCGAGCTCTCACCCATACCATCCGGTAACTATGGCAGCGACCCCGGGGGTCAAAGGTGGAAGTGGGTTTGTCCTTCCTCCACTTTTGCAGCTCCTTCTCCGTCCGTCTCTCCAGGTCTTTTTTAGAGAGTGGTACTGAACACACCTGAAAAGAAAAAAAATCAGAATCTTGTTTTGTTTTTAAGTTTTTAATTAAAACAAAGTCTAACAAAGGTGTTTATATTTTTGTCTTTAAAGTTTTAGTCGTATTCGTCAAATTCACCTCAGCTATGAAAGCATCGTCCTCATCTTGGACCTGCTCCTTGACTCCCCTCAGCCTCTCCAGTGTCTCCATCTGTCCCTGACACTGCTTCCTTTGCTCAGTCCGACCCAGGACCCGCCGGACCAACACCACCGCCACCTGGAGCAGCACACGCACACCTGTTGTGCGTGTGTCAGGTAAAAATTACGACATAGGAAGTCGAACAGAATAGTTCTGTAGGCCTGAATGTCTCATTGGCTCTGCATCGTATCAGGAAGGAGACGCACCGTAGCAGAAGAAGAGGTCCCAGACCCGCAGCAGCGTGTTGAAGGGCAGGTGGCGTGTGAACAGACACATCAGCCAGTCAGTGGCAAACATCAGCGGCTCCACGCCGTGCTGCTGCAGATGTTTGTGTGCAGCTGGGCAGGTCTTTTTCAGGACCCAGGTGAGGATGGCAGCATCGAACAGGACTCCCTCCTACACAAAACACCTCCTTATGAGGTACAGTCTGCACAAACTGGAGCCACGTTTTCTCATCAGGATTATTTATAGCAAACCTCAATCAAACCCACAGCCTCAAGGTTCATTTTACTGGCGAACATGTGAGCGGTTTGTGTGTGAAAGGGTGAAGAGTGGGTGTGTACTTACCAGCAGAGGGCTGTAGTATCCAGGTAGGAACTGTTCACTGATCTGAACTAAACACCAGAAGGCTTCCTGTCAGGAGTTAACAACATTCCTGTAACTGCAATGCAAACATGGCTGTAACTCACACACGCGCACACACACACACACACACACACACACACACACACGTGGTAGGGGCCGAGAGCCACTCAGCTACCAAACCTCATGAGATTTTGTGATTGTACAAAATTTACATAATTTAATTTCTGAACATAAGAGGAACTCTGGCTGGAAAAGGTGATCCTGCAACGGATTCCTGACCTTTAGAGTGACCTCTGCTTCACCAGAAAGCCCTACAGATGCTAAATATTAATATAGCCTTCAAAACAATGTGTCAAAATGCAGTTTTTACTGAATTTTGCACATGAAGAACCAATTAAAACCTTTTCTTTTTTATAATAAAACATTGTTTTACTGTTGAATGTTGAAAGAATATTAAGGGCAAAGCAATATTTGAAAGAACGGATAAATGGTGAGAATATGCATAATAATAATAATAGTTAATCAAATTAATAAATAAATATTTAATATTAAAAGATGCTTATGTAGCAGTAAATTAAATAGAAAATATGATAATAAGCCCACTTAATTTCTTTGCCAATATCAACATATCCAATGTCTCCCTGATCGATCTAGTAAAGCTCAGAGGAGATAGCTGTTTCCCGTCAGACAATAAACTAATTTAAACCATGGTCCTCATTCAGCTCATTATAAAATTGTGTGAACAGTTTAATTAGTTGTTGTAAACATATTTAAGCATCTTTCTGCAAATTAATCCACAACCAGAAGGTTTTCTCTAGATCCGCCAAAACCTAAAAGGCAATAAAAAGAAAAGAGAGGAGCTTAGCGATGCTGAGAGGGACAGTCGAACCCTGATAAGCTGGAAGATGGCTCTAGAAGTTAGAAATAATACATCATTAATGTCGATGATGGCATGTTTCTGGTCTGTACCTCAGCAGGCATGTTCATGAGGAGCACCGCCGCCACTGGGCCCTGAGCCTGGCAGTAGCCCTCCTCCGGCTGGAACTGAGTGTAGGCCTTCAGCACACGGAACAAGCCCCGCTGCCTACACACACACACACACACACACACTACATTTCAAACAAAGACACCAGAGATGAGAAGAATCTACTGCTCCGTAGGTGTCGGCTTGTTGACAACAACAACCAGTAGAGGCCTCACTCACCCGTGTCCATCCTTAGAGAGGAACATCTCATGAAAAGGGAACTGACGGTCCAAATCTCTTTCAATTATATCCACCCAACTCTGCATGCCTGGCTGTGAGTCTAGAGTCTAAGACACCCATTAATAATTAGTTAGCAGGCTATTTACATTTCCAGAGCAAAACATGTAGCTGATTCACTATTAACAGCTGTATAATGATGATTCCAACTGTAAAATGTCCACAAAAGGGATCTGATAGTCACCAACAATATTTTAAAATGAGGGTTTTTGGTTAACAAATTACTGTAAAGTGCTCCGTTATACTTTGTAGAGGCAGATTGGAGGGTACTTGCCTCATAAAGGATTGTATTTTGTCTCATCCGACCAGTGGCTCCACACAGCAGAGGCCAGCACTTTGCTCGGAGCGAGGCAGGGATTCCTTTCTGACACTGCAGCTTGACCTGCAGAGATGTGGGCATCAGAGATCCAGAGTTAGGTCAGACTGGTCCTACAGGAGCAGGTGCACTCATGTGATGCTGGATTTATCTTCCTGTTTGTGTGAATCTTTAAAAGCAATTTAACTCTTTGCAGAAGGAGAAAGAAAAAGATCAAAGTTATTTTTCTCGGGGTGGGTTTTCCCAGTAAATCAGAGTCTAAATGAGTTAGATGCGAGTCTTTGTCGGGACACACCGTACTGCTCTTCCTCAACAAGATGCGGTTCCACTGCCCGATGATGTTTATCCATTTGGCCTCCCTCTGCCTGACCAGCTCAGGGGACGGACCCACACTCCTGACACAACACAACAAACACGTACAGCCGAGTGAGTTGTTCATTTACATATTATTTGTGATTTTGCACGAGGATTTTAATTGAAACAGCAGCAGCGCTGTGACTATTTCTTGTGTTGTTGCTGCACAGAAGCAGAGCTTTGAAAAACAAGACAGGAAACAGGAAAACCACAGGTTAGCAGTATGACATCTCCATGGCAACAGGTCAGGATGGAAGATAGCAGGTAGCAGTTTGTTCAGCTGGTCTAATCCTGATCTGACACCGCTTCATGAACACAACCATTCATTAAACGTCTTGTAAATAAAGCAACCGGCTGGTTTGGTGATGGAGAAGTGAGTTTCTGTGCTGGTGAGGTTTTCTGTCACTCCTGAGATGAAACGGTTAACTCTTCTCTGCCTTCAGGCTGTTTATTTTCATTCTCAGGTAAACAGCATGGAAACACCTTCTCTAATAAAGCCTGCTCTTGTTTTATCTCTATTAACAACATGACATGTTTTAATTTATTCATCATTATTATTTTTCCTGCTGACTCTGTGTAGATGGTCTTCACGTCTGATCCTTTTAGAGCCTCCCGGTCCCACCAGTGAAGACAAAAACAGCTTGTCACTGCAGGCCAGATGCTGAGGTTTTTAACAAACTCTGATTAATTTAAACATCGTCGACTCCGCAAGTAACACACTGAACAAACTAGAAATCATCATTTAGGCTTCTTGTTTACGCTAAACTCAAAATAATTGCTGTTAAATCTTCTGAGCATACAGTAGAGACGTGTGTACTTGTTCATTTTAGATTTATTTTAACAACCAAAGAAAGTCATCCAGAGGTGAGTTTTGTTTTAAAAAAGTTTGTAAGCTTAATTATTACTAAAGCTGAACTTTTAAGATTAGATGAGCGGTAATTTCTTGTGTTTACTTTGGTTTTAAAACTTTTTTGTCTGATTAGGGATAACAGACAGTCATATTACTGATGCTTAATTTAAAGTAAACGTGTAACAGAAAAGAAGACAGGAAAGCAGCATGTCTGGTGTTCATAACAGCGTCAACCTCTGCAGCGGTATGTGAGCGAGCAGTGAATTTACTCACCCAGCTGTGGATCCATTTGTCAGAATGAAGCCAAAACGGTCCGTCTCTGGTTCTAGACTGACCTCTGACCCTGCATCAGATGCAGAACTGTCCTCTTCACTTGGGTTTCCCTGGGCTTCACTTGACAATTTGGACATCTTCCTGTGACAGAAGACGATATCCTCTGTGTAACTTTGCCCCTCAGTCAGTATGAAGACAGGGTGACGTGACCGTGCGTACTCATAGATGTTTTTCTTTAATTAAATCTCATTCAAAAACATTAGTGGAGAGTAAATCTTTTAGCACGTGCTTCTCTCTTTATTCTTTACGCTGTTAGTAAATGTAATAGGAGTTTGACCATTTTTAAAACATTTCTTGTGTCAGCTTCCTGCCATTCAACCCAAGACAGCAGTTAAAACTATAAAGTATGCATCTAAACGTAAATACCTTTTACGTTTTCTTCATGATTGATTAGTCGGTCGCTGAAGAGACGAAAAGTGTCAGATCCACCAGTGATGGAAGCGGAAGACTAACTTCCTCTAGCTCATCTGCTCTCTCGTGTTCACCCACACCCACCTATCTGAGCTTTCAGCATTACCAGTGCAAAGAAGCTAGAAGTTAGAAATTTGATTCTTTTTTTAAATTCAGATAAAAAATAGTTATGGAAGTAAAACTCAAACATAACAATTGAGGGATATATGTGTCGTAATGTTGTAATTACTTCCTTTTGTCACTTAAAAAACTATTCAGAGTGGCGTACATAAAGGGGACAGTGTGTGATGAGTTCTGTCAGTAGTGTTGATATCTGAGGAAGAGAAGCGGGATTTACGAGGGACTTTGAATGCAGCACAACTTCGCAGTGTTGATCGTTGAAAGCTCGCGTGAGAGGTAAGGCCTGTGTAGTTTAAAAGGTTATGAAAGGTAAATCTTGTTCTTTTAATGGTCATTTAGACTTTAAAACATACGAAACGCCCTGTTTTTATCGCTTCATTGCATGCGTTCGTTCAAACAACTCGAGGCTAGCTCACTGTTATTGACAAAGGTGACGCTGGTGAGCTTCTGATGTAGCATTTAACATGTAACATTGTGGTTTAACCAACACGTTTCGTTGTTTGGATGAACTGAAGCAAAGCCGCAGAAAGTAACGCGACACAGAAACAACGTTTCATTCGACTGAATCGGAGAGGTCACCTAACTGCTAGTTTAAGGACGCGTTCCGTTCACAGGAAGTCCGAAATTGTTGAAAAGGTTGACACGCCGGTGTACAAGAACACAATATGCCTTAATGGTTGTCGCGGTGTTTTATTAAGAGTTGATGCATGCATAGAAACGGTTTTAAATGAATTATTGTTAGTGTACGTTTTAGGAGCTATACGTGTCTACCATTGTTTGCCGTTTAAAGATCGCTAATCTTTCTACCCAGTTTGAAGCTAAAAAAAAAAGCAAATCACCGCGTGGGTTAAAAACGTATATGTGCTTTAAATCAGGCCCGCAGTAGTAATATATTTTATCATATTTTATGAATATAGCAAGTGAATGTGGATAGTTGCTTAATCCTTTAATGTGTTCCAAATTTCCCGGCGTCCCTTGAATGTGGCATTTCTGACGTATATTTGGAGCGCCAGATTGCAGGTTGCTCCTGATTTAAGGTTTTAGAGTTTTCTTTTTGCTTTTCTATAGTTGGAATTCTCTTTCTGCTTCCCTCCTCGCAGATGTCTGCAGCTCTGAGTTTGCGTCTTTTACGCTGCTACTCAAAACAAGGTACTGAAACGCGTTTGAGTAGTAAAACATACATTAATAGACACATCAGGCCTGTCTAATGTTTTGTGTTTCTCCAGGTGCATTTCTTAACTATGGCCCTTGTGCCGTGCGCACATTCAGTATCAGCGTATCAAGAGGAGGCTATAGTAAGTACTGCACTAAAACATATTTGGACTATCAGGTGACCACTACCAGATTATCTAACCAAACATTTATCTTTTTATTTTCCTGTCAGAATATGTAAACGCTCAGGAGCTGCCAACTGACCTGAAATCCATCACAGACCGGGCCGCCACAACCCTCCTCTGGACTGAGCTCTTCAGAGGTCACTTTTAATGTTGCCATCACTACTCACTCATAAAGTTAAAGCCAAAGCTTGATGATGTCCTGCTTTTTAATATCATCAAATCGTGTGAGGCAAACGGTCAATTTAAATAAATAGCTTGTGCTTTCCGTTAGGAAAAGCAAATTCACATGTAGTTACATGTTTTACCCAGATAATGGTCTCATGATGACTGTTGTCCAAATGGGTTGACTTGCACTTACTGTTTCTACCCTAGGATGCTTTACATTTAGTAGTTGATTTGATTTTGTGTCTTTATCCACCTTACTCTTGGGCCGGCGTTGTGTCAGGGCACCATACTAGTCAGAGGAGCATACGTGTTATCTGCTGGTATGCATCTCTGACTGGTATAGTGTCACTAGGGTTAGGGTAAGAGTTAGGGTGCAGGGTAGGATTACAACTACGCTTGGCCTGTCAGACTGGCATGCACTGTAAATGTGTATGCCAGTCTGACAAGGTATGCTGCTTTGACAGAACACTGGCTCATGCAGAGACGATTATGCGCGTAACACCTGGTGAGGTACTGGAAGTAGTGTTTAGCCATTGGCATGCAGGGTGAGCTTTCGTTTCTCATACAAGTTTATTTGAACATTTCAAGATTAAAAAAAATGTATTTGCTCTTGATAAATGTATTTGCTGTTGTACTAACAACCAGAGGAAGTAAAATTTGTAGCTGCAATAGCAATGTTAGGCTGTGTATCATTGCTTGAGGACCCAGTCTTTCCCTGTCTGACTGCATTCTCAACCTGATTAAAGATAATTAAAAAATTACTACAGACATTAGATCCTACAGTTAATTAGTTGATACATAAATTAACTAATTAAAATTAATGCTTAATTTAACTGAATTGTGCTTTTAAATAAAATAGAGCTCAATGTTTAACATTATACATTATCAACTGTTTGTATTTCGTGTCATGTAGAAGCTAAAACTCTGGCTTGGAGATGATGGATTTAAGGCTCTACGTCTGTTTTTTAGTAAAAAAAAAGATTGTGTCCCACATCATTCTCCAAAACACGACCAACCTTATTACTATGTAGGTACTAATAAGCCTCAGAGCTTTTAAAGGTTGAATATGGAACAATTTAATAAAAATTTATATTTAAAAAATAAAAGAGTGCCTCCACGAGGTGTTTAGAGGTGTGCAGAATGAAGGTACAGTGTTTCCTTTAAAAGCTACATTTTAATTTAAAAAATAATAATGCATTGAACTTATATAGCGCTTTTCTAGACACTCAAAGACGATTTCACACACTCTCACATTCACACACTGCTAGTGATGGTAAGCTACTTGTAGACACAGCCGCCCTGGGGAGGTCTTGACAGAGGCGAGGCTGCCATTTGGCGCCGTCGGCCCCTCTGACCACCACTTACACAGGCAAGTTGGGTGAAGTTTCTTGCCCAAGGACACAACAGCAGGATACCCCTGGCGGGAGCTGGAATCGAACCCATGACCCTCTGATCATGAGGCAACCCGCTCCACCACCTGAGCTACTGCTGCCCCAAAAAAATGATCAAATATTTATTTTGACAAGCACGACTCTGGGTTCATGTTTGCCAAACAGTCCGCTCGGCACAGCGAGGCTGGCACTGTGGAAAATGGCGGACTTGGCAAGTCAAGCAGTTGCTTCTGAGCCCAGAAGATGTTCTAAACTGTTTTAAAATAAACGTATTAGTAGAAATTAGTCCTTACCCTGTACGATTCGTCACTGGACGTGGTGCTGGCTGGTAACGTCATGTATCGGATGCAAACCTGTTATGCGACGGCTGGAAACCTTATTCTGTTGTTGCTTCTATAACCTCCACACACTAGATGTCACATTGGTGTTCATATTCCATATTCAACCTTTCAGATTGTTTATTGCCGTGCCGTCAAATGCGACAAAGTTAGGAAAGTAGCACAAATGCTGCTGTATGTAAGCACTGGCCAGATTTTTGTATCACCCACCCTCTCCAGGGTGACGGTGGCACAGGAGTTAAGGTTGCAGGTTTGAGCCGTTGTGTCCTTGGGCAAGACGCTTAGCCCACCTTGCCTGCTGGTGGTGTTCGGAGGGACTAGCGACGCCTGTGTTCGGCAGACCTGCCTGTCAGTGTGACCGTGGCAGCTGTGGCTGCAGTGTAGCTCGTCACCACCAGGGTGTGGATGTGTGTGTGAATGGGTGAATGACCAGTCAGTCACATATTTCCAGTAAGGGCTCAGGGGGGCTAGGAATAAGGTGGACAGGAAATAATTCAGCAAATTTAATTCTGAGGATGACTGCATGGTAATTCCACTCCAGAAAACTAGCTTTCAACAAAAACCAAATGCATCTCCCACAATCAAGGATTTGTGCAGTAGCTGAATGAAGCAATTAGCTGGAATTTTATTTTTGTTTGTTTGTTTTTTTAGTTAATTTTGCTTTTTTCTGCAAATCCAGCTGACATCTCTGATTGATTCTTTGACATGTTCCTTCAGGTTTGGCCATGACCATGAGTTACCTGTTTCGTGAACCTGCCACCATCAACTACCCGTTTGAGAAGGGCCCGCTGTCGCCACGCTTCCGTGGAGAACACGCCCTCCGCCGCTACCCCAGCGGAGAAGAGCGCTGCATCGCCTGTAAGCTGTGTGAGGCCATCTGCCCAGCTCAGGTGAGCAGAAGCATAGTTGTTGTACGGTCAGGAAAATATTGTCCAAAACATTGTAGTGTATGAGAAAAAGGACGTTTGCAGACTTTGATCATTTGAAAGAAACTTGTTTGTTTATAATATTAAAGAACAGAAGAAAAGTCCACTCCAGTAAATGCTCTCCAACACAGAGATATAAATGTTTCCATTAGTGAAACGTTCCTAAATTTCCCCCAAACACCAGGATATTTAGTCTGAACTCCCCGTGTCCATCCCCAGGCCATCACCATTGAAGCCGAGACTCGAGCTGATGGCAGCAGGAGAACTACCCGCTACGACATCGACATGACCAAGTGCATCTATTGTGGTTTCTGCCAGGAAGCCTGTCCTGTTGATGCTATTGTGGAGGTGAGAAAAGAGAAAATGTCATCAAACAAAAAGCAACACTTCTTCCACAAAAAAGAATCGCTGCTTACCTTTTCCTATCCAGTATTTGCTGTTTGATATTTTTCTCTCAACCTTCTCCTCAGGGTCCAAACTTTGAGTTTTCTACAGAAACGCACGAGGAGCTTCTTTACAACAAGGAAAAGCTGCTCAACAACGGAGACCGATGGGAGCCTGAGATAGCAGCCAATATACAGGCAGACTATTTGTACAGATAAACCACTTCTTGTAAAAACAAACCATTTTGGCATCATGCTTATGTACATTATAGAAATAGCTACATGTTGTGGAGTTAAAATGTTCATTTTGAAGCAAGCCCAGTAATCATACATTAACTGGCCATAAACAAAAATAAACAAATCTAACAAAAGTTGTTCTAAAAGCTTTTTTATAGGCACACCTTCACTGTTGAGCTTTTTCTGTAAATCATAAAACTTAACTGAGTAACTTAAATTTTCATCTTGTATTTATGACTGGGGGGGGGGGGGGGGCTCTGTTGGTTAATCCTTTATTAGAAAAATAACATCTTAAATCATTTAGATCCTGTTGTTGTCAGGAATCAGTCTTGCTGCTTCCCATCTAACTGAGGTTTATATCCTCAGTAATGCGTGTCTCTCTGAGCTAAACGGCTGTTTAGTCTGGTTACATTGGTTAGTCCTTATAATGTGTTTCTGGAAATCATTTCACTATTCCCTCGAGTTCTACTTAGTAAGCATTTTTGCAAAATTTTCTTTATCTTTCGTTATTTTAGATATATGGCAGTTTTTAACCTAATGATGGTCTCATGCGGTAATGATTTGACCTGTCTCCAACTGACTCGACTATTCCTTATCCACAGAATGTTTTCTACTCAGTGGATCAGCCAGGGTTAAATACTACAGCTCTTTTGCCATTGGCTAGAACAGGTTGGGAGCTTTCTTGTTGGTCAGGCACTGTTTGGCTTGTTTTGTTGTAGGATTGGGTTAGTTTGAACTGTTCATGTGTTGAATTCATTTGTTTTTACTCACTGATATTTACAGACACATTAAAACATTTTTTATTGTTTTTAAGTTGAACATTTCAATGTAATGCTTCTCCAGAACAACTGAGGGTAATTAAATAAACCATATTTTAAACCTAGGCTGGTGTTAGATTAGTTGGAGAATTGGGAGTGAAGCATACCTGCAGCTTCTGATTTCAACCTCAACAGAATTGTTTTGGCCAGTTTGAAGTGTATTTTTATATAAAGGATATAAGTAATTACTATTTTATTTAGCTTTCTGAATGGACTGAAACATTCAACAGGATTGATGAGCTAACAGCTAGTTTAAGTGCAATCACAACTTGAAAAATGTCATAGCAGTTTAATAATGTAATTTAAAAAGAGTACAAATTAGTTTTAATTCTCTCTGCTTCTTTTGTGCCTCATCAACAGTCATAACATGTTTTTCAGGAAAATTCTTCAAGCTTGTTAGATCTGTTTTATTTAACTGCATGATCTAATATAAAACACAGGCCCAGAATCATTTGAACCTATTACTTGGTCCCATTTCTGTCAGCTCTGGTTTGCAGTTTCCACTAAGGTATGAACTACGGGTGAAATTATACAAATTGATTATGTATTTTTAAACCAGATGAGTTTTAAAGGCCACTCTTTAACCCTGCGTGTTAACTTTGCTACAGGAACAAACAATGGAAGAGCCGGGGTTAAAGCATGGACATAAACACAGAAATGTCTATAGAGTTAAGTAACACATATCATCGGGCATCTGCCTCCCTTCATTACTCCGTAATCTTTAGAGAGCCTGAAAGGGGTTCCTGAAGTAGAGAAGTACAGAAAGACACTGGTGTCTGGGAAAGGCTCCTCCTGTCAAAACCTCCTTTTAGTGCAAATGTCAAATTTATGATTTATAACCCCGAAGGTCCTTGGAAGTTTTCAGAGAAGGGCAGAAACCTTTGAACAACAAAAACTAGCTGGCTTCTTATCGGGCCCATATGTCTTGATCAACACTTTAAAAACATGATATATACGGTTTAATCTCTAGAAGTGTTGCTTTGAGAACAAAGCAGCGGAGTGCGCATCGTGAAGGTATATCAGACGGATGCTGATTCATGTTCTATATTTTATGCGTTTTTGGCGCTGCGGAGGCCACGTGACCAGGGCGGAAAGTGACTCATAGTCCACGCTGAATCTGCCGCGAACGCAGCCATTTACTCTTTCCTCTCTTCGCAGTGACACCGGTGAGTCGCTAGTTTCCTCTTCAATTGTGGGCCTTCCTAAATGTCAAGTTTGTATTGTTTTTAAGTCACTAAGAATGAAACAAAACTTTTTGGGTTATTTTCTTCTTTTGGGTTAAGGTCGTTTTGCATGTGCAGCCTTAACAGCAATTGAGGGGGAAAGGCCGTCGCATTTTTTGTGCTACCAGCTAACGGGGAAGAATGGCTTCCATGCTGTGCTAGCTGTGAGGCTAGCGAGCACAGCAATGCTCCATTTCACGGCTTTGTTCTGGGATATTTGTTCCTATTACTCTTATTTGTGTATATTTGCCAGGGAGTTTTCACAATTTTTTCTTGTTCGTAATTAACGTTATTTACGGAAGGCGTCTTGTTTAGACCAGAAATTGACGGCAACATGGAACGCATTAGCTTCTGTGACTGTCTGATTGTTCCAGTCGAACCTGAAAAAGTGCGCTCAGGCATCATATGGCGCACTAAACTAACGCCTGTTAGCTTGAAGGCTAGTTGGTAACCGCCAGTGCTGAGGCTTTTGGGGGGCACGGTAGCTTTGTTTTACTTTATATTTTGGCACACCGGAGAGCAGTTAGAGGCTGTTTGTTGATGCGTTAGCAAGCTTTCATAAATTATAACGTCGCATTTGAACATGTCGGAACGTTAGCTTGGATAGAACATGCTAGATGTTATCCCTTAGCTGTAAACTCGTCTGTACAGAATGGTGCGTGTTCAAAGCCCCGTGTGAACAATATTCCCAGAATGCCAAATTTAGTTATTGAGAATCTTTAACTTAAATCAACGTATAGATAACACTAACGGTAGATTCCCGCCTTGTTTGTTTCAGAATATTTGGAACCATGGCTGACTCTATGGGACAGTGTGTACCTGTGGCGGTGTTCAAGGTAAGAATCTACTTCTTAAGAATGATGTTAAGTATGATCTAATTATGGCGCGTGAGGGCAAAAATGTGTGCGTTTTAGCTGAGGTAACTGGTGTACCAGCACAAACCGGTCAGTAGATAACTGGTCTGTTCTTCACAGCTGGTGTTGGTCGGAGATGGAGGCACGGGAAAAACAACTTTTGTGAAGAGACACATTACAGGAGAGTTTGAGAAGAAGTATGTTGGTGAGTAACCTGAGAAAGTTAAATGTAAACTGTACAAGACTAACCCAGTGTTTGTTTTTACCAAATTAGGTTTGCCACTAATGTTTAGAACATCACATTTACAGAAAATATTGTAAAATCGCTGCATCACAAGTTTATGACACAGACGTGTAAAATGCACAGTTCTGGTCTTCCTGTGAAATTAGTGTTTGTTGAAATTACTTCATAAAACAAGTGGTTTTTATTATTCTTGTAGTTGAAAGATAAACACAACTATTTCATGTCCATGTTATTTAAAACCATTCTCTTATCAAGTCTATGAATAATAGGCCAAATAAGAACGACTGTCCTCAGTAATCCCAAAGAGTGCAAAAATGCAGAAATTCTAAGTACTAGTTACTTCATATAGCTAGCTATAAATGACTTCCAGCATCAGTCACATAACTGATTGTAGTAGATGGAAAATCATGCAATACCAACCTTTTTATATATTAGTTTAACAAACTTGGTGTCATTCCGCAATGTCTGAAATTCTACAACTAACAGCTGCTTTGGGTTGGTGATGTTTTTAAATGGAAAACGGTAAAACAATGAGTGAAACATTAATTTTTGTAAAACTATACAGGTTTTAAACTTGTAGATTACAAAAAAAATGTATTTGCTCTTGATAAATGTCCAAATTTATATTGAAAATAATTGAATGGGAGAGAAGGGAGATCCTGGATGAATACTGTTCCCGGTATTATAAATATATTAACATGTCAAACATTCAACATAAAGATGATGAACAATGTGTACTTTATTGATCCCCTTGGGGAAAAGCATTGTTTGATTCATTCATGAGAAGCATTAAGCTACCAGTTCTATGCCACCTGGGATCTGTTTTCTAGTTTATAACTTGTATCATAATTCTAGGATTAAAGTTCATTTGACCCTCTCTGTGAGTTTAGATTAATTTCTTGATCTCCTGCATCTTTTTTAGCTACTCTAGGAGTAGAAGTGCATCCCCTGATGTTCCACACCAACAGAGGACCCATCAAGTATAACGTTTGGGACACAGCTGGTCAGGAGAAGTTTGGAGGGCTGAGAGATGGCTACTACATTCAAGGTGCTTCTTCAATCTTTAATCATGATACCAGCAGCTGGATGCATTTAGTGTCACCTTTCTTCTTTATTTGATCAAATGTACCCGCTCCTCCTACAGCTCAGTGTGCTATCATCATGTTTGATGTCACCTCTCGAGTCACCTACAAGAACGTGCCCAACTGGCACCGTGACTTGGTCCGCGTCTGTGAGAACATTCCCATTGTCCTCTGTGGCAACAAGGTAGACATCAAAGACAGAAAAGTCAAAGCCAAAAGCATCGTGTTTCATCGCAAGAAGAACCTGCAGGTAAAGGCAGCTTTCTAACGAGTTTGTGCTCTACGTTGTTGTGCGAATGTTTCATTTGGATTAAAGTATTTGTTTTGACGGCTCTGCCCCCAGTACTACGATATTTCTGCCAAAAGTAACTACAACTTTGAGAAGCCTTTCCTGTGGTTAGCAAGGAAGCTGATCGGCGACCCCAACCTGGAGTTTGTGGCCATGCCTGCCCTCGCTCCCCCAGAGGTCCAGATGGATCCTTCCCTTGCCGCTAAATATGAGGAAGAGCTTCAAGTGAGTAGATCTGTGGTTGCAAATCCAGCATCTGTTCATCTGCACTAAACACTCAAATGGAACAAAGTGGGTTTTGCAGCTGAAATGTTTTTTTTTTTCCCAGGTTGCATCACAGACAGCACTCCCAGATGAAGAAGATGACCTCTAACCTGTTTTCTGTTACCCCCCCCCCCCCCCCCCCCCCCCCCGCGCTGTGGACAGGAAGTTGTTGGAGTTTTGTCCCTTTACTGTCAAATCCCTTTGCAGATTTTTTTTATTTTTGAAATTTTTGTTTTAAAATTTAGAAAAACTTTGTGCAGAAGTTTGTGGCTCTAATTTCACTGTATGGCACACCCACCCATGTTGTTGACGGCATGAAAACATGCTACTCTTTGTCAAGCACCCTCCACTGCACATATCCAACTCACAAAATGCTGTTTGGTGTACTGGAAGCACTAAGGGGAAGAAACTTTGAATAAAAACATTCTCAGTAGAAAACCTGTCTTGCTTCAGTGGTTTCAGAAGTGTGAGATAACCCACGAGTAATCAATGGTGCATATCACTAACTTGTAAATTTATTAAATAAAATAATCTTCAATAATCAGATGTTTCTCTTGAGCATCAGGTTTGTATAAGAGCTCTAATTTAGCCATCAGTTTGGACGGCTGTCATTCTCGGGACAAATGGATTACATTTCTCGGCACTATCATTTGTAGCTCCCTCAAATTGAAACGGCACCCAGAACAGATTTACAAAAAAAAGCCAATAAAACTCAAAGTAGAGAGTAAGGCACAGCGTCCTTGTACAGTTCTGTACCACTTTCAAAGTATACTCACCTCATCCATAGTCTGGTATGGTAATCTGGACTCTCAACTCAAGAGAAGACTACAATGCACAACAGACAAATCATCTAAAATTAGGCCATACACCACCTTCCATTGACACGTGTACCATAGATGCATCAAAATCACCTTGGACCACTCACCTTGCACATCTGTTCACACTGTTACCTTTGGGAAGACACTCCAGGTCTTTACAATAAACTAGATTCAAAAACAAGTTTTTTTCCCCCTAACTGCTATTCGGTCACTATGTTAACTGCTTAATGGTTTAGTTTGTCCCTGTCTGTTTATTTTTTACATTTGTTTATTGCATCCCATGTCACAGGACAGCAGTAGATCAGGTTGTCCAGTAATCAGAAGGTTGCAGGTTCGATCCTGGCTTCGGCCAGAGAATGCTGCTGTTGTGTCCTTGGGCAAGACACTTAATCTGCCTCCTGCTGGTGGTGGTCAAAGGGAGTGGTGGCGCCAGTGTTTAGCAGACCTCTCCTCTCAGTGCACCCAATGTGGCTACATTGTAGCTCATCACCAGTCTGAACGGGTGAATGACTGAAGTGCCTTGGGGGAGGGTTGTAGAACCCTAAGAAGGCGCTGTACAAATACATTTAGACAGAACTGTGAGCATGTCATGCTGCACCAGAAACGAATTCCACCAACTTGTGTGGCCATTAATAAATGAATCTGAAACAGAATTATCTAAAGCAGTTGAACGTTTGTGTGTGTGTGTGTGTGTTCCAAGTACTGTGCAAACGTCTGTTTTAACTAGAGGTTGACTGATGATGGTTTTTCTGTTGCGATATGTGGAGTTAAAGTCCGTTGATTTTTGAGGGGTCGATTTTCGTGGCTGATATCTAGATGTTTTATTTGCATGATAAAACGTCACTAATATCAGTTAAAGCACAACATTTTAGAAGCTGAATC